CAAATCACTGGCTATCTCTACAATGAGTGAGTGAGTGTGTGTAATGTCAGTATGACTATGTTTTAGTGTGTGTGCTTCTGTGTGTGTATGTATATAAAGCAAAGGGAGAGTATAAGGATTATGCACACACTCTGTACATGAACGTTACAGTTGTGTTCCCCAGTGGAGCACCAATGCATGAAAAGATTTGTGACAAGGAGCTCCAGTTATATGTGAATCAATAATATTATGTGGAGAGATAATTTATTGTGTTTATTTTTTTATTTTAACATATCCCTAGAGGCCAAAAGGAACGATTCATTTATTTAAAGATCTGATATAAATTCGAATGCTGACATTCAAAAAGGATGGTAAAGAAATGTTTGGAATGCCGTCATGATGAAAAAAGAAATGCAGAGGAAGTGTATTGAAATTGGTTTAAGAGAAATGAATAGAAGTGTTGAACATCTCATCAATGTTGGGCAGATCCCTAGTAAATCTTTTCAATATTATAGCTAAGCCTTTCCATCACCACCACAAAGAGAAACTGTTAGTACCAATTGTAAAGCTCACTCACCAAGCATTTTTGTTAATTTCTCGCAATCATATTTTGGAATTACAGGATTTCCGGGGGCGTTTTCCAAATGAGATCTTGAACCACAATAGTAATTCACGATAATGCTATGCGGTAGGCAGGATACGTTATACATCCTGAAACTGTTGGGTTGTCTTCCACATTTTTTATCTTTCACCTCTTTTTCTTGCGCGTAGGCTTGATGAAACACTGCACCGCAGACTCCATATGCTTGGGCCCGTCATCAGCCTGCCAGTCTGATTAACACTAGGCTGATCTTGCAGGCAAATGTTTACAACCTGGCAGAAACAGATGACGACCCATGATTATTTGCCTTCAGTTCTTGAATGGGTTCTGTTCCGGTCTGCTCTGATTAGTTTTCCCCTCGCCAAACAAGAAAGATGTAAAATATGCAAAACAGTAGCATGTTTGATAGGTTAAGAAGCCAGTACATGATGTTCTTTTAACCAAACTCTGTATCTAGACTAGTTTCAGTGCTTATATACTGCACTATGGGAAACGGTACTGCATATATTCTGCACAGTACTCACTACACAGTACCACTGTTTGTGGTTTTGTTTAATTCCTAATTTGACAATTACAAGAGCTCCATGTAATGTATAACACGCTAAAGCGATTTATCCTTTTTCTTAAATGACAGATCTTGATGTATATGAACCATGTTCCTTAAAGTTCCTAACTTACAGAGTCGTTCGGGAACTAAACGTAGCTGCTTTTGTCACATTCAACATGTCTGATGGTATATTCTCTCATAACTGGATTTGAGTGTGTGTATGTTTGTACGTATGACTGTATTTGGTGCTATTGTCATTGTTTTTTAATCGAAGCAGTTTCGGAACATAACTTGCATGATTTTGGTTCAATAACTCTGTGCCAATGGTCGCTCTCCATCTCGGACTCTCTCTTTCTCTTTCCTCCACTCCTCTCTGTGATAGTTTTCCTGAGTTTTGAAGTTACTCTTTTTATAGTAAGAATCAAGCAAAAAAAAAAAATGTTTTTTTCTTTCCAAGCAGTCTTCTCATCACATTACAAATCACTGACGTGCAAAAGCGAAATGTTTGCTGAGTGCTGTACTTATATTGAGAGAAGCAAGATACATTTCAAGACTTTTTTTTCTTGTTCTTTTTGTTTTGGAAAGCATTGAGATGTATTTAATGGTGAAGACAAAAAACAGCGATTAAATAATGCATTCTTGTAGAAATATTTTTTAAAAGCAGCCCTTTTGCAATTAAATTATTTAAGAAATACCTGCGTTTGCTGTCTGATTTCTTTACGGCCGTTGTGTATCGACATGTTCAGTTTCAGTTGTCAAATGTTGTCCTTTCTCAGACATGTTGGTGCCACAAATTCTTGCTTAATTGAAAAGCCTGAGGATTTTGAAGACTGTCCTCCTCCTCTATAAAACATTCTGGCCTGTATTTGAGTGGGGAAAGCTTTGATCTTTACAGGTCAGGACACCTGCCTCGCAGATACGGACTGTGAGAAAGTATGTGGAGATCATGTGCTGTTCAGACTGATCTGGACTTTACAAAATGGAGGATCTTCATGGTCAGGCATAACTGCAGATATATTGGCCTTGATGTTTTATTACTTAAGTTTTTATTGTTTTATCTATGCAATATGTGGTTTTACAGTCTTCATATGCTTAACTCTAGTAACAAGGGGGTATGTTATAAACATTTTAAAATGTGAAATGGCCTCCAGGCATTCATACACTTTTTAAATGTAATACACTTAATGTTTTAATGTAATAATAATAATAATAATAATAATAATAATAATAATAATAATAATAATAATAATAATAATAATAATAATAATAATAATAATAATAATAATAATAATAATAATAATAATAATAATAATAATAATAATAATAATAATAATAATAATAATAATAATAATAATAATAATAATAATAATAATAATAATAATAATAATAATAATAATAATAATAATATGTATAATAATATGTATAACCACCAAGTAAAAATATAACACTGGAAAAGTTTTTTTTTTGTTTTTGTTTTTTCCCCAAATTTCAAAAATAATTTCTGTAAATCAAGTTTTTGGGAAGTTGCATCACATGGTATTTTATAATTCAACTGATTAATTGTTTTTTAACACATGGCTATTGGGGTCTCCATGGGTACTCTAGGATATCATTGCTTGTTTTACATTTTTGTTTTCTGTTTTATGTATTTTTTGTGCATGCGTTTTATTTGTTTTGTGTCTTGTTTTGTTGTGTTTGTGGGGTTTTTATTATTATTATTATTACTATTACTATTATTGTTTTGTTGTGTTGTTTATTGTGTGTTTTTTTTTTTGTTAGTTTCATTTCATTTTGTGTTTTGTTTATATTTCTGCATGCTAGTTTTGTCATTTTTGTTTTGTGTTTTATTTATGCATTTAATTTGATGCTTGTAATTTTTGTTTTGTTTAATTTCATTTAATTTTGTTTTTATATTTCTGCATGTTGGTTTCGTGTTTTGTTTGTATTTCTGCAAGTTGGTTTTATTTTTATTTATTTATTTATTTTGTTTATAGTTATGCATGTTGGTGTTGTGTTTTTTTGTTGATGTTGTTTTGTTTCTTTTTTATTTATTTATACCTCTGCATATTGTTTTGTGCTTTTGTTTTGTTTTGTGTTTTTATATTTCTGCATGTTGGTTTTGTGTTTTGTTTTTTTTGCTGGTTTTTTTTTGTTTTTTTTTTGCTGTTGTTTCTGCCTGTTGGTTGAACCATACAGTTTAACAGACACAAATGTGACTGTAAAACATTGATAAGCATTAAGCCAAAGTTAAAATACCGAAATTAATGCATTTTTGGTTTGTTTTTTAATTGATTAAGACAGAAAAAAATAAATGCCATGCCATCGATTTAGATTACAAATATTACAACATTATTAAAACAATTATTATAATTATTATAACAATTACGACATTAAATAACAAATTATGAAAACAAGCGGTGTATGCAGACAAATGATAGTGCAAGTTTGATTCTAGCTCTTGGGAAAAAGAAAATTAGGAAAATATACAAACAATTTCTTTGCTTTTGCATACCTAGGCCTGTGCACCAGCCTTTCTCTCCTTCTCTTGTTGTCAAGCATCTGTGTGCTGTTGCATGCTCCCTTCAAGGCTGCAGCGATACGCTCAGAGGTCCCTGAAAGGAGGATTACTTGTTTGTTGCCTGCACAGAATGGAGAGCGGGAGAGAGAGAATACAAAGGAAATGTTACCACACCAAACCCCGTCTGCAACCGTTCCTTGGCCGTGCCAGGTAATAGATTCAGTTAAGCAAGCCCTGACAGATATTATGGGGCAGGAATGTGATGACACAGTGCTTGTATTGTGTGCTATCTCTTGATTTGCAATGGCAACCGGTCGCTGTCAGTCTCCGCGTTGAGAGCCGTGACATTACAGTGGCTGGCGCACACACAAGAGCTGTTGTCAGATTGGAAAGGGAAAAAGAGGTGCTTCCAGACGGGGCAACCGCACATCCTATACGGCAAAATGTTTTGACAACAGCAGACGTGAAAACTTATTTTGACAAAGAGATAGGGTTTGCACAGATGTGCTTACAGAGCAGTATTGCTTTGCATTCGCATCGTTTCAATAGTTTCTTTGCTAAAGCAAGCCTCACTATTATTATCATAAGCAATCACACATGCTATTTCACTTTTGAGAAAGTCTAACTATTACTAAAGGTTTTTGTACAGTAATTCAACGTTTTTTTTTTTTTGCAACTGGGATTTAAAAGCTTATATTTTAATAATTGAACATCACATTGACATATTTATGGTTCTCTGATTTTAATAAATGGACAAATGGCATGCAGGTGAAAATATAAAATATTTAATATTTAAATAAATAAATAAACTATATTATTATTATTATTATTAATAATAATAATAATTAGCAATTATGTATTTATTTTACATTTTATGATTTTAGAAATCTCTCTCTCTCACTATATATATATATATACATGCACAGTGCCGTGAAAAGGTT